TTAAATAAGTCACTACGCGTTACTTGAAAAAAAATATCTTTTTTAACAGTAGGCGCGACTTATTGGAATTTTACAATTGTACACGATACAACTTGACTGGTCGAAGTCGTCAGTAGAACTCAATTATTAAAGTTTGTTGTACAAAGTTTGTTGTCACTATATACATATATACATACCCCTACAAGTGTTGTTTTGGACTCACTGTTTGTTTTTACTCTTACTCACTCAATATCATCCGAAGCAGACGTTGGGCCAGCTGCTCTTTGTCAGCACATATAAATACCTTTTCTTTAAGGGTCACCCCGAATCAGAGTTGGGTTATTGGGTCGAGCTGTTATGTAGGTTTTGGTTTCTATTAGCGTACCCAAAAGAACACTTCGAAACTGTACCACACTTGCAATCTTCATTTCTGACGTCTTTAGCGAAAATTATTTGCAATGAAAAAATTATATGAACTTAGCTCGCCCACGTTTTAAATATAAATTACATGCTGTGCTGTACTTTTATCCTTTACTACTTCCCAAAGAAAATAAAGAAAGCTATTAAAAGCTCTACATCACGCGATTATACTTTAAAACGGTACAATGGCCTGATCTTATCACCTCTTGCTTTATTTTCCCTATTCTGTTGCGCATGTCCTCATCTGTGCAATAAACGAAAAACTGGCTTCCAGTGCGGTCGGTAAAGCAGTACCAAAACTAGAACCTTATTAGTGAGGGAGATATGATTAGCCAAGCAGTTCATATAAGGAACAGCTGATCAACAAGCAGAATATCTTTATCCTAAGGGTGTTTTACTTTGTTACTTTGCGTAACATGAACATTTTTGTTTATATTATTTTTGTAGTTTTGCCTACCGCACTGGTTGTTTCCACTGTAATAGCCACTACTACTTCTGCCTCTGTAACTACCGCGGTTGCTGTTGTTCGTCTCCACGATAGTTATAGATAGATAGATATATATATATAATACAGAACTGTATCTGTTCGGCCACTCGAGCCATCTCTTGGTATCGGAACCAGGTAATCCCTTTTTTGGTACAAGAAGTATAGGACTGTTATATTCCGATACAGACGGTTCTACAATATTATCCGAGATAAGTTTTTCGACTTGATTATTAACTTCTTTATGGGTATGAGGAATTCTGTAGTTTTTAATGTACACTGGCTCAGTATCTTTTAGTCTTAGTTTTTGTTTATAAAAATTATTGGTTGTTATGGATTCGGTTTCGAGTCCGAATATGTCTGTATACTTGGTGCAGAGATCTTTTAATTGTGTCTTAAATAATGGGGGAAAGTTCTTTTTTAGTTTTTTCATCACCGTTTCTTGGCGATCTTTGCTAATTTCGTGGACTGTTTCATAGTCACTTAGCTTTTCTATTTTAATGTCGTTAAGATTTACTATTTTTATTGAATTTGTTGTATTTAAAAATCGGACAAATGTTTGTTGATTATTGGAAATAGTATTTCCAATAAATATTCCTTTATCAATTTCTTGATTTGGAATGAAAATATTGTTTTCTGGCGAAACAATATTGATTTGACGGACTACTTCAGAACGAGCTGGAAGTATTGTGGCATTATTATCACAAGTGTGAGTTATTGGTAGTTTTATAGGATAATTTAAATTATTTGGCCGAAGTATTAGAGAATCATATGTTTGTGAACCTTATTAGTGAGGGAGATATGATTAGCCAAGCAGTGCTTATAAGGAACAGCTGATCAACAAGCAGAATATCTTTATCTTAAGGGTGTTTTACTTTGTTACTTTGCGTAACATGAACATTTTTGTTTATATTATTTTTGTGCCTACCGCACTGGTTGTTTCCACTGTGATAGCCATTACTACTTCTGCCTCTGTAACTACCGCGGTTGCTGTTGTTCGTCTCCACGATAGTTGTAGATAGATAGATATAGGGCTGCCGATTGCTATAATACAGAACTGTATCTGTTCGGCCACTCGAGCAGTGCAGTTGTTGAAAAATTTAGATATGGCTTCATTCATGTTATTGAAATTAACGGCTTCCATTATAGGCTTTACTTGGTCAATTGAGCTTTTTTACCATTGCTTTGACAGCTTGTGATACCATCCGCAATGTATGCACCAGTGTTTTGGTCAATTGTTCTATTTCTTGGGTGTAAGCGTTGCCGTTTTATGCTTCTGCTGAAGGATCATCAATTTCACGTTCAGTACACCTACTAAATCGCCTTTTACTGATGATCTTAGCTTGTTTGATATAGCTGTAATTGTTGATCCAGCTTCTATCAAGTTTCTAGCATACCCTTTAAGTTTGGTTTTTATAACAGATACTACGAAACATTCTTGTGTTCCCTTGAACGAATCAACTATTTCTAGTGCTTCGAGAAAACTGTGTAGGTTCTCATGCTTTCCGTCGAATGCCGGAATAAGCCTTCAGACTTTCTCTGCAAAGTCTGTAGGTGATTGGGTCATGTTTACTATGCTAACCGCTATCTAATACCCTAGATTTGCAATTTCACCCATGTATGACGTCTTATTTTTCCCTAATCCTCTGGTATGGTACATACACTCTAGGGTATGTCCGACTAAAAATAACCTGTATGCAACTTACCTTTTTCTTTTTTTTTTAAACAATTATTTGGGCATACTTGCGGGGCTTTACTCCGCAAACATGCCACGCCCCTAAACGCCTCAAGTCCCTGCTCGGGCGCCACTTGTAAGGAAGCTACTGGCCGGGGTACAACTCTCTGTCTTACCAGGACCAGCAATCTTAGTTTGCTGGGATAGAAGGTAGAGGGGGGAAGAAGTACTTCAAGTAAACTATGACTCCTACTATTTTCATAGAATAGGGAAGGAAATGCATACACATGACCGGGGATGCTCACGCGGTCAGTAGGCCAGGCCCAGATTCACACATGCACGGCCGGGATTGCTCACGCGATCGGCAGGCTAAGCCCTGATTCACACATGCGCGGCCAGGATTGCTCTCGCGGTCGGCAGGCTAAGCCCTGGTTCTCACACGCACGGTACACTAGGTTAAGGGGAGAGGTTATCATGCAGATCAGCTAATGCCGACGATCGAGAGTAAAACTAACAGGAAATAAAACAACTAGCAGACTTTCATTTCTAACTCCAATTTGCGCACACGAAATCTCCTTTGCTTCGCCTTCTGTTACACACGTCTACTCACTTTGATACTCGCTCAAAAAGTGCCGGCACGCTCGCTGCGAGCTTTCGCAACTTGTTGATCAACCGATCGGCAACGCATGGTTGCTGCGGCGGCCGGCGTGAAAATTAAAACTTAACTTAAACTGGGCTTCTTGCCCTTAATCAACTTCAATACTTCGGCATCTTGCCTTAACCATTATTATAACTAATACGATGCTTATATACTATAACTATAATTATGAACTGTGGCTATTTTAGTGGCCTCCTCACAGAGTTTGGCGCTATTTTTAATTCGTATGGTAATCGCGTGAAACGATAAGAGCCATTGCATGTTGAAAAAGACGTTATGCTTCGAGAATATTTATAAAGTTCAATCTGGTGGAATCCACACATTAGGTGGAGACAGGAAAAATAATTTGTTCGTCCTAGTTGAGCAAGCCAATAATTTTTATCTATCTGACGATAATCTAATACTAAACGCCATCTTTTATCAATGGAACCTGGTAAAGGTTTCTTGGCAATCAATAAGAGTGCGCTGTTGTATTCTGATACAGACAATTCGACGATTTTATCGCGTATTAATTTATCTACCTGAAATTTAATTTCTTCTTTATGGGTATATGGAATTCTATAATTTTTTATGTATACAGGCTCCTCGTCTTTTAATCTCAACTGTTGTTTATAAAAGTTATTTTTGGAAATTGTTTCTTATTCTAGTCCGAAAATGTATATATAGTAGTTTATTAAATGTTTGGGCAAACTTTTTATTTAATTTTGCTAATACTTGATTTCGTCTTTCGACATTAGGTGGTGTTGTGTTTCTAATGTGTTTTAGCAACTGTTTTGAATATAAATAAAGTCCATTTGGCTTTTCACAACAACACGTTCTAAAATAGTTTATTTTATCGAATTTACGTAAAATTTACGTAAAAAGATTATTTGGCTGTGTCTCAGAAAAGTTTCTTCGCTTCGCCTCGTTCAACAACGAACAATAACTAGATAAAGAGAATATGCAATTCATAGCAGCTGAACCCGCCATCAGTACATCTTTAAGAGAATATCCAGAATCAGTCGTCGCTGAGCCATCGAACACAACACGCAACTTGCTTGTGGTGCTGTCTTCCTTCAAGACGCAATGATGTGGGAGGAAGTATTTACAACAGCCACTCAACTCTAGACTAACTCGCGACATGTGATTCAGATCCAGAAACTCATTGACGAATGCCGAGTACTGCTCCTTTCGATGCAAATTCCGACCCAATTTTCGCTCAAGACTGAGAAATCGACGATAAGCCTGGCCATAGGACTCTCCTAGAAGCTCTGCACTCCGCTTAAGAGGCAACCGCACTGAATACTCACCGGATGGTAAGCGGGAGAAGTTATTGGCAAATTGCTGCTCGCATTCCAACCCTTCTTTGGTGGCTTTTACAATAGGCTCTTCCAAGCTTTCAACTTCCCAAAAACGACGAACCAACTCATCCAGACGAACGTTTAACTGACCAGCTTCGCAGTCAGGAGTTAGGCCAGCAGCCAACAACGAGGTACTGCGCAGTCTCTCATACCCACCGGTCATGACCCAGCGAAGTCGAGTTTTTTTTCAGAAGAGGTAGTTCTGACAAAAGCTCAATTTGCCCAACACACAAAAGCTCATAGAAAAGGCTCGCTCCAATTAAAAGATCCACTCGCTGTGGTTTGTTGAAAGCAGGATCAGCCAACCTTATGTTCGAGGGAATTTTCCATTCCGATGTATCGATGATGAAGCTAGGCTGACTATCGGTAATTGTTAGAGTCACAAGAGCATCAAAGGTGGCTGAATAATCTGGGTCTTGTGATTTCATGTGAATCCTAACAGCTGATCCTTCAGTAGAGACGCTTGAGACCCATGACAACTGTCGACAACCTGGGTTTCTTTAACTGAAGTCTCTGTGCGAGCCTGAGGCTAATAACCAGAGCTATTCTTTACAAGTACCACTGCAGTGGCCAAGAGCACAACCAAGTAGCAAAATGCAGTAGGGTATGATGCTTTCCTCCACAAGTACGACAATGACTACTACTGCAAGACCGAGTTTGGTGTCCCTTCCTTAGGCAGTTATAACAAAGTGCCAGTTTCTTGACTTCCTTATGCCGAAGGGATAGAGACAAATTTCCGAATTTACTACATGTGTAGATCCCGTGACCAGATGCATCACAAAAGCAGCACCCATTTTGGTTAGTCTCAGCTACAAGCACTCTTTTGCTGTGGTTAGTGTAATGGTAGTGTAATAACCTGAGAATTGGTCATATGGGATGACATGGCATGTTGCACGCTCTCCAGGCTTTGACTATGCCTTTCCAGAAATTTGAAGAACTCATCGGCTGTCGGGATTTCGTCAATGCCTGCGGCCTCCTCCCATTTGGTCTGAGTCTGAGTGTCCAAATTTTGAAGCAGCGTGTGCACTATTATGGATCCTGAAATTTGCTCCAAACCGCCCAAGGTCTGCAACGCACACATATGCGAATTGACCCTGTCCGAGAACTCACGCAGTTTTGAAGCCGACTACCCTCTTGAGCCCATGAATCTCATTGATGTGTGCCTGGAACACAAGACGTTTGTTACTAAATCTTCTATTTAGAATATCCAGAGCCACACGATATATGGCACCGGAAAACTCCGACAACAAACATAAGCGGAGATGCTGCAACTTTTCGCTATGAAATCTGAATATTCGGTATAGCCACCGGAAAACGTTGGTAATTTGAGCTCGGGCAAGCGCGTTCTGTTGCCCAAGATCACGGTTTGGTTTGGCGAATCCTCATGACGAACGAAGGTTGAATGCGAATGCGAGCTTCAACCATGGCAATCAACTTGTCCAAATCTTCACGTAATTTGCTGCCAATTTTATAAAAATTCAGCTCCTCAAGCGAGTTATGCGCGGCATTAAAAGCAGACTTAGTTTGTTCAATTAACAATAGACGCACTTCTAAGTCGACGGCACAAGAGTTATTTATTTAATCCTCAGATAAATCACTTTCAATACACTTGGCTCGCTCGACCAATGCAGCCGCCTTGCGCGTAAGAAATGGCACCCTGTTTGCCTGCACATTACTCTTGTTCTCGCCTTGCAACTGTTTCGCTGAAGAAATATGAGCGCACAAAAGGGAGAGCGCGAAAGTCACCTAGCGGCGTCTATGTATATGCGAATTTTTGGGAACTATTGTTAGCTCACACAGGCGTTTTGCAACTGCCTAATTAGAATAATTTGCGATAATTATGGTGGACTTGAATAATTGCAGTTTTAATTTGGCAAGAGATCTAAAACTGCAATATTACATCTCGCCGGGGCCTCCAACTGTTGAGTTACTAATGTTTTTTAGCCAGTGTGAGAGTATTACCGATTCGTGTCGACCAAATCCGTGTCTACACGGTGGCTTATGCGTCAGCTTAAAACCAAGCTATAAATGCAGTTGTCCATCAGGCCGCTATGGGCGTCATTGCGTACGTTTTAGCTACGGATTTGAGCCGCTATCCTTCATGAGCTTTCCCTCTTTGGATCCAACAACAAACGACATTTCTTCGACGGCGCTATTAGTCTATAACTACGGCTTGCAGAACGGAGGACGTTCAGATTTTTTGGCCATTGTTTCACAACAAAACGTTATAAGTTTATTTTATCGAATTAACGTAAATAGCAAGATTATTTGGCTGTGTCTCAGAAAAGTTTCTTCGCTTCGCCTCGCTCAACAACGAACAATAACTAGATAAAGAGAATATGCAATTCATAGCATCTGCAAGTGCAAGAGAGGCTGCCAACCTTGTTTACAACAAACAGCTGTTTCACTAAACTAAGATTATGACCTCTTCTTATGTTTACATGAATGTTTGCTCATAATGATTTGATGCGGCAGCTGCAGAATCCAACAGGTGGGCTTAGAACATTATATTTCATTGGATATGAAAACTTGTTGTTTAGTTGATTTTATTTTAATTTGTCTAACTACTTCTGATGGTGCTGGGATTAGAGTGGAATTGGTTCAGCATGTATGCTTTATTGGTATATGGATATGCGTTTGAGTATTTGAGGGTCTGACTATTAACTGATTTTGAGGTGCTTGTAAATTTAATAGACAGTTGAATTTCTTGAGGAAATCTATGCCGATAATCCCATCCCATGGTATTGGGCAAGCCAATCCCAAATTTCGGATGTATGGCCGCCATCCTTCACGAAAATGGATAGCCGCTTACGCAACTCCTACACGCGCCCTTGCTTTTCCAGCCCGAACTCATGGGCGATCGCTACCAGTTCTTCCTTGCGCCGCTGGTGGATCCAGCGCACGCCTACCCCCTGATTTTGGCACTCACCTGACCCCATTTTGAGTTCTTGTCTCACTCTAGGTGCCCGCTTCGACTTCTTTCTTTTGTGGACTCTAGCTCGGTTTCGCGTTGGTGGGTGGGCGATTCTCGTTCCGTTGGTTTGCTTATCTCACTTTTATCTATGTCTTTTCCGTATATTCATTTCTTTACGACCATATATTTTTTATTTTTTTATTTTATTTATTTATTAGTGGTCGACAAAACGAGTGTCTTCCTAATTATTCAATACATTTTATATACAATTATGAAAATTAAATGCTAAAAGCCTAGTTAGGGAACACTAATTTCTAATAAGCATCACCGACCGATGGAGGTGTTTTATTTGCCAGTCCGGCCAGCTGTGCCCCTTTTCACAGCTAATTTTGTCAGTGACGCTATTAGAGCCTACATCTAAGAAGAAGGGTGTAAGTAAGCAAAAGTGTTCTTAACTAAAATTAAAAATAATCTTAATTTGCTATATTATTTAAGAATATACCATAAATAGGAGAAAAGAAAGTAAGAAGATTGTTAATAAAGTAAAGAACTGTATGATCGATATACAGAGTGTTAAGTAGATAGGATAAAGAGATAGTAATGGGAAATCACCGACCCGGTGGGGGAAAATTTACAGCCTGTCCGCCAAGCTATGCCCCTGCTCATAGCTGGGAATGGTCAGTGACTTCCCGAAGGTATCCTGAAAGCAACGATTTTATTAGGGGTAGAGAAAGTTCGGTAGAGAAAACGTGATGCAAACGAAGGTAATTTTTACATAGCACGCGAAAAGAATTGGGCATAGCGTGGTCAGTTGTGCACGTCTATAGGAATAAGGGGCGGTAATTTCTGGTTGGTCTAGCCGGAACAGAGAATTGAATACGCCCTAGCAGAAAAGGAGAATCTATATCGCCAACAACCAACTTATGTAGAAAGACAACACCGAGAATTGTCCTACGGTTGGTTAACGACGGAAGATTAGAAGAAGCAGCCTGCTGGAATAGGATGGCAACCGAAGATTAGGGTCCCAATTTAAATCTCGTAAGGCAAAAAGCAGAAATTGCTTCTGAACAGATTCAATACGATCCTGGCTATTGTTATACTGCGGAGACCAGATACAAGAGCAGTATTCAAGAATAGGACGAACAAGAGAGATGCACAGAAGTTTTGTTATAAAAGGATCGTTAATGTCTTTAGACCATCGTTTAATGAATCCAAGTACAAGTTTTGCCTCATTAACGATGGTATCTATGTGAAGATTGAAGCAGAGTTTAAAATCAAAAAGAACGCCTAGATCCTTAAATGTTAGTATACGTTGCAATGGAGTATTGTCGATTGTATAACTGACAAGATAAGGTGTAGTACGATTAAATGTCATAAACATACACTTTGAACAATTCAGATGCAATTGATTGGCCGAACACCAAAGTTGCATAGCGTTCAAATCGTCTTGAAGACGAGAATGATGTATGGTATTGGTGTATGATAGAATAAGTTTCACGTCGTCCGCATACATGAGTACACGGGCATGTGATATAACAGAGGAGAGAAGTAACGTGAACCTGTTTTGAGGTAGTCAGCCTCAGCATTACTCTTTGGGTCCTACCTTTTAAATAAGAACTAATCCAAAGCAAAAGAGAACGGAGGGAAACCTATTCGGTCAAGTTTAAAAAGTAAAATGTCATGGTGCACAGAATCAAACGCCTTACTGAAGTCAGTGTAAATGACATCAGTTTGCATTTTCGAAAGGAAAGCATCATTTACCAAGGAAGTAAACATCCATGTTGAACAGGGGAAACAACTGATTTGCTGAAATGCTGTAAATTCGAAGTGATTATTTTTTCAAATAATTTAAGAATAGCGGACAGTTTTGCAATTCCCCTGTAATTTAGTATATCAGACTTTCCACCTTTCTTGTGGAGAGGAATGATATAAGATTCTTTCCAAAGAGATGGAAAGACAGAAGATTCAAGGGATAGATTAAAAAGCTTTAGCAATGGATAAACAAGGGAAGAACTACACTCCTTGAGTAGACAACTAGGAATATTGTCAGGCCCAGGAGAGAAAGAAGATTTTAAGGAATTTAAAGCTAAAAGGAGAGAGGAATGGGAAATAATAGAAGGAGGTATAGAACTAGAGGAAGTAATAGTATAAGGGTAAGAATTATTATTAGGACAGACTGAAGAGTAAGTTGATTGAAAAAAATTAGCAAAGAGGTTAGCAGAATCAGAGTCATTGCTAGCTATATCCAT